CAAAAACTCATAATGCCAAGTCAGTCTATTATTCTTCTAGACCAAGTATAGAAGATCTATCTTCAGTAATAAATCACAACACATAATAGGCAATTTCAAATAATTAAACTTATGGAGTATCATTATTTGACATTTACCAAAGGAGCAACAACTACTAACACATATGAACTAACAACAAATGTTCATGCATTTTTGAGTGGCTTAAATTCAGAACTTTAGACAAACAAAAAACTTTTTAAAAAATAATAAGGCCCTTCTTGGGAAAAAAATGTGCAACCACTTTAAATCACCAAAAAGAGAATAGAAAAGACAAAGAACATTTGAAGATATAATCTTAGATACAATCCCTTCTCCTCTCTGTAAGTGCACCTCTTTTACAAACTTAATGAGGACCAATTTCATTCTTATTCAAAAAATACTTAAAAACATACTTTTAATTTTCAGAAATACATTATTCATTTCTAGTGTTCCTTACAAAAAGAATTTAGGAACACAAATCAATAATCTATAGGACTATGTTGTTATTTGGAATTGTAAAATTCACCGTTTTTTTCCAGGACTTGGATGCTGTGCTTCCAGTAATGAAAGTCAAGGCAACTGGTTCAGAGAAAGCTGGTTATAAGCATGATATAATGCTAAAAGTTGGCATTACTATTTGAATATGCTGACAGATTTTTTTCTCTTCCATTATCTTTATAAGCCTTCCATTTTTTGTGTAGGTTACCATTATTAAAAATAGAGATACCAACTCTTCATAATATGTAGTAGAGAGCTGTGGTCATCTTAACATACTTATTTATAAGTAAAATTTTAAAAGTGGTTATTAAATATGTCACAATTTAAATCCTGGGCTATTTTCAATTTTGAGATGGAATAGTTTTTAATAAATTTCACACTACAAGAAAAGTGAGATTTATAAATGTATGAACCTGTTTGGAAACATTTATTCTTAGTTGCATTGTCTAGAAACAGTTTTATATGCAAAAATGTTTAGCCAAGTTTGAATTATAGAATAGTAAGAATATAATTTAGGAAGAAAAAAGCATGCAAAATGTCCACAGATATGCAAAAATAATCCTATTTAGTCAGAAATATCTGCACTGCAGCACCAGTTGTACGACCAGCTAATCCCTTCCTTTGAAAATGAGAAGGAACAGATATTTCAGTAGATAAAATAGCACACATACTAAAAGGAGCCTAAATTTATAGAACAACCTGTTCACTTCCTCAGGAGTCTATCCAGAAAACACAGAGCTGTTTTTAATAACTCTAAAATGTTAGTGTTTAGAAAGCTTATTTTGAAGGAAAATAACAAAAGAAATGACTAGAGTACAGATATATCTATAGGCCTTTTGCTATTTTCCTCCAAACTAAGAAAATATAACATATATATAACATAAAAAATACATGATACATATGTAAAATATGTTACATTAAAAATTATATATATATATAAAATATATATACTTAAAGTCAGTATAGAGCAGGGCACATAGGGAATAGAGGATTTTGGCCTTCCAGGAGAAAAATAAAAGATGTTAAGGTTTGTCTTTAAGTTAATACCAGGATAACATATCCCAGAAAATGGAATGATGGTCCCCAAAAAGATATGTCCAAGTACTAATTCCCAGAAACTGTAAATGTAACCTTATTTGGAAAAGAGAGTATTTTCAGATGGAATTATGTTTATGATTTTGAGATGAAGAGAACATCCTGGATTATCTGGGATAGATTCTAAATTGAGTGACAAGTGCCCTTTTAAGAAACACACAGAAGACAGACACAGAGGAGAAAGCCATATGAAGACCGAGGCAGAGGCTGAAGTGATGGGGCCACAAGCCAAGGAAAGCTGACAGCCACCAGAAGCTGGAAGAGCCAAGAAATAGCATCTCCCCTAGAGCCTTGGGAAGCAGCACAACCCTGCCAACACCTACCTAGATGTTGGATTTCCAGCCTCCAGAATGGTGACAGAATAAATGTCTATTGTTTTAAGCCACTCAGTTTGTGGTAATTTATTGTAGCAGCCACAAGAAAAGAAGATAATGTGTATATACTGTGTGTGTCTGTGTTTATAACACATATATGTATGCATATACTCATGCACTAAGACACTGTTAGTACCTCTTCACACATACCATAACACATGAGATTCCATTAAATGGAGTTTTTTACCTCTGAAATATTATGTCTTCAACTTTAGTTTCTGCTATTTGTTGAATATAATTGACATGCCACAGTACTAGGCCCTCTGGAAACAACAGTAAGGTAGACACCACCTATACTCATGAAGCATCCCAGTATAGACAAGTGAACAAACATGGGAATACATTAAATCACTCTTTCTAGGCATGGATGCATGGGACCCCAAAGAGGAGGAACATACAGCTCAGCATAGGAGGGGGCAGGAACAGAGATCACAGTGAGCTTTCCAGAAAAATAAACACCTAAAGTTAGTGAAACCTGAAAGATGAGTTTGCATGGTAGTGCTGGTACAATGGCATGGAGCATGGGTGTAGAAGACACAGGGGAAGAACAGAGAGGGTTCAGGCTGAGAGGACACAATATAAATGAAAGAAGTTCTGCGAGATAGCAGTGGGTGTGAAGGAGGCAAGAGATGAAACTGGGCTGTAGACAGAAAGCAGAGAATGATGAGCCTTGTAAGTCATTCTGAGAAGTTTATACTCTATCATGAGGGGACTGGGAGTCACTGGAGGGTTTTAAGCTGAAGAAAACATAAGGGCATTTTTAAAAATTATTAAAATTACTATCTATGGTGTGAACTAACATCAGGAAATATTGGAGCCAGAGATAACTTTTTATGAGGCAACAGCGGCAGCCCAGGCAAGAGACAAGGATGCTTTGAACTAAAGGAGTGATGCAGGGATGAACAGATAGAACATTTCCATGGAGTCATGAAGGGAGTCTAATAGACAGGAATCGACACTTGGGCAAGTATGTATATGAGGAATAGAAGAGAGACATCTAGGTTTCTAACTTGAGTAATTGAGGGGATGGCAGCATTGTTTCTCAATTCTGGAATGTGGACTGAGGGGCAGATCTTGGGGGAGGATATGATGAGCTCAGAGAAGGTGAGTATGAGAGCCACCCCAGTGGAAGAAGAAAAGCAACTGGACATGTTGGTTTGTAGCTCAAACCAGAGATACCTGGGTTAGAGGTAAGGACTTGTAAGTCATCAGCCCATAGAGGATTGTTGAAGCCATAGGAGTAATTGGGAAATCCCAGACAGAGCAAGTGCAGTAAAAATTAGAAGGGACATAGATGAAACTTGCACGAATACAATGTAGAGATAGAGAAAGAGGAATCCCCAAAGGGGACAGAATGAGTAGCCAAAGAAAGAGGAGGAAAACCAGAAAAGTATCATGTCACTAAGGCCAGAGCAAAAGGATCTTATGAAAACAGGATGTGCAGCTATGTTAAATGCTCCAGATAGTACTGTAATGACTCAGAATTTTCCAGGGCATTTTTTGACAATCAGATATTACAAACAGAGCAGAGGAGGCAAAAGGCCAACTTCAGCAGGTTGAGTCATGGTGGGTGGAAAAGTGAAGTGAGTAGCAAGTGTGGTTAACTCTGGCAAGTGATTTAGCTGGGAAAGGGAAAAAAAAGAGAAAATGGAGACTCTGAACATTTACTTTCTTATTAAGCTTGAAGAGGTCTGAGATGCTAATAATCAGAGTCATCTTTTTTTTTAAATAAATCAATATCCCTCATATTCACATAGACTTTGTAATTTTAGAATAATCATGGAAAGGTATCTTAAAGGTAAATTAAATTTCCGTCTATTAGAGACATCCTTCTCATAAAGTCCCCATTAGAGGGTCATCCAGACACTTTCTGTGATAGGGGCTTACTACTTCATAAGGGCTCTGGTTGTATTACTAGACAGCTGTGTCATTTAAAAAGCACCTTCTTAAAGTGGCACAAGTATGCCTTGCCAGGATATAAAGGACCCTTAGCTCCAGTTCTGCCTTCTGGTACCATATGTAAATAGAACTATTGTGTGTGCTTAGTTCTTCCAATCTGAGCCCTCCCTGCCATCCAGGGTTCTCTGCTCTGGGAGAATTCTCACTTATGAACATCCATTTTAAAGATTAGTGCATCCAACTATATAATTAAAAGCAGCATCTTAAATGTCACATTGTCAGCGCTGAATACAGCAGGACTGTCACTGCCTATGATCTGAATTTCCATTAACATAGCATGGGCCCATTGTCAAATAAACAGTTAAAAAAAAAAGAGAGAGAGAAAGCTGTACTTTGCCTCTGGTCCTGTCAAGCATGAGTCTAAGTTCACGGACTACCACAAAGAAACACTGAGACGACTTAATGCGGAGAGATCCCTCTTGAGGTAGCTGACTGTTATCCTTGCAATGACCTGGTTATCATCTTGTTTATAAATTCAGTAGTCATTCTGGCTTTTTATAGCATCCACTTCTGCTACTAAGAGGTTGACTGTGGTGCTCAAATCTTGCTCCAAAGGACTGCAGCCTAATCTTGTCTTTGCTACTAGTACCGATGGCCATTGAGTAGATGATCAACGGGTCACTCACTGTCATTAAAATACAATGCACAGGCCATAAACAGTTTTAAATGTGCTTTTTATTAAGTCTTTTATTGCCTTTTTATAGAAATAAAATATAGCTTTTCAATACAGCTGCCTCTAAGGATCTAAACGTTCATGCCTTTTGAGTTAAGAGCCATTTTCCCAGGAATGCATCTGATGTAACAGGAAGTGTTATAGTAAATCATACCAAAACTTGAATATTTCTCCTGGATCCCATATCTTTGATCATTTGGATTTTACATTCCTTTCTTCATTCAATAAATATGTAATGAGTGTCTCCATGTGCTGGGCACTGTGTTGGATACACCGGCTAGAGCAGCCAATAAAACCCACAGCATTCCTGTCCTCACAGGGCATAGCCCCATGGAGAGATGGCTACTGCCCAAGTCAACACACACACACCATTGTATAATATTCAGAGGTTGGGATGGGTGCTGTGACAAATGGGAATAGGGCATTCTGAAAAGTAAAACTAGGGCAGGGTAATGCCTAATTCGAAGAGTCAGAAAAGTGACATCAAGCTGAGAACTAAAGGGTGAGTAGGTGTTTCACTTGTTTTTGTTTATTGTGTTTCCAGAGAAATGGTTGGGGAACAGCATCTTATGCAGAAAGAACACAAGAACACTCTGACAGTCCTGAGGCTGTTTCCAACCTTCATTTTTCCTTACGGCATTACAGACCTCTAAGACATCTTGGTTTGATCCGTACAAATGTAAGACATAGCTATAAATTAGTGAATACATTTTGCAGGTGTTAAAAAAGGATTCTTTGGCATGCAAATAAACCCAGCCTCCTCAATCATATGTATGACGAGTCAACAATGTCTGGAGGTGCTAGCTCTTTCGAGGTTGATAAAAGCACTATATCAATATTTTTTCATCTGCTGGAAACTGGCACAATTTTTTAAGATTTAGATTTATTTTGTCAAACAGCATGACATGCTCTGACTCATAGGTCCTCTCTAGGTTAGAATGTGGGAAATCATTAAAGAGAACTGGTGAGCAGTCAAAACTGAGAGAGTAAGTTTCTTACCTGTATTTGCATTAATTTCATTTAAAAGCACTATTTTGTTCCCAGTTATACCTGATGATGAACCTTCCAGAGAGGAGTGGAAGGCCCATTTCAGGAAAGAGTCACTGATCAGACATCGAGTATCTTGAGATCTGACTTCAAGGCTTATGAATGTGAAATGTGAAATGAATGTAAAATGGTGTCACAGTGCTAGGGTGACCCCTGTCTGGTTTTCCTGGGATTTTTTGTAGTTTTAGCATGAGAAGCTCTATGTCCCAAGAAACTCCTCTGTCCCAGATAAACTGGGACAGTTGGTCACCAGACTACAATCAGGATTGGCTTCCTGGGAAGCCTGTGCCATCACAGGCTGCCCAGTTCTTAGAGGAGTCCCATGCTTGGTTTAGTGCTTTACTGTTGCTGTTTTGAAATTTGTAAATGTTTGAATAAGGGGTCCTACATTTTCCCTTCACTGGGCCCTACAATTTGAGTAGCTGGTTCTATCTGGAACTAGTATTTATTGAGCTTTTACCTTGTATCAGGCAGTAAATGAGTAGTCTTATATTATTCATCTAATACCTAACCCTGAGAGGAAGTTATTAATATACTAACTTTACAGATAAAGAAACTGTGGTTTGAAGATTTAAGCCATTTAATAAGATATTTAACTGATAGGAACATAAATTCAAAGTAAGAACTGCCTGGCCCCAAGCGCCTCGAGCTTTCTGTTCTGCTGTGTGGAGGCTTAAATCGCATCCTGCCGTGGAGATAGGCACTGTCAGATTCCATCTTAGAAGGTTATTCATTTTACTGATCCCAGATGGTCAAGTATTGGCAACTTTGTAGAGTTCGAACTGATAATAAACTATGTTAAAAATCGCCACTGCTTTACACATGAGCAATTCCCCCTCCTATCTTAGCCTTTCTACAATTTGTCTTTGACCTGGCAACTGACATTGTTTTTATTGTTCATTTCTTCCTTTAGATTTCCCTTGAAATGAAGGCGGTATGTTCGTATGGGGCTTGGGGGAAGGCAAGATTGGAATTCACAACTGGATTTAAAAAATTAGGCAAATGACAAAGTCAGGAAATGATTTGAGAGGAAGAGCTCCAGACCCCCACCACAAAGCTAAGGAGGTAAAATGGCCTCCTCGGTCTTCTCCCTGGGTCTTCTTGCGTATTCTGTTCACTCCCATCTCTCATAACTGTTTAGATACAGAATCAGAATTTTCCATGGGACTTACTATTGATGCTCTTTGGAAATACTGCCCTTTCCTCAACTACTGTCTTCCTTAGAGCAAGTAATAATTTTTTTTTTTTTTTTTTTTTTTTTGAGATGGAGTTTCGCTCATTACCCAGGCTGGAGTGCAATGGCGCGATCTCGGCTCACCGCAACCTCCACCTCCTGGGTTCAGGCAATTCTCCTGCCTCAGCCTACTGAGTAGCTGGGATTACAGGCACACGCCACCATGCCCAGCTAATTTTTTGTATTTTTAGTAGAGACGGGGTTTCACCATGTTGACCAGGATGGTCTCATCTCTTGACCTCCTGATCCACCCGCCTGAGCCTCCCAAAGTGCTGGGATTACAGGCTTGAGCCAACGCGCCCGGCCAGAGCAAGTAATAATTGAACTTTTCTGAAGGTCCTTGGAAATTGAGAGAATATAGTTCCCATCTTTATTTTCATTTCTCATTTCATCTAGAAGCACCGTTCTATTTTTAGTTATTTCTGAAAGCTAACCCTGCAGTAACTGGGGCAACCCACCCCTGTGACTGTTATCACTGTATCTGCTTCAGTACCAAGCAACCACCAAGTCCATGTGTGTTTTTCTTAGAACTGACCATCAAGGCTTCAAGATCTTCAAGAGATAGTCCACAGAGTCTGTAAATCACCCACTGTCACGGGAGTTCTTCTACTTGCCTGATCACAGGAATCATCAGACCCTCCACCTATGAGTTACATGACCTTCCTGGAGACTTTGGTGCATTAATGATGGGGTGTGGTCCAGAATACAGAGAAGAGAATAAAGGACCAGGGGGATCTTCTCAGGCACGTGTGAGAAACACTTCTAAAACCTTTTTCTGTATTTTATAGTTTTCACCTATTTTACTCTAAAACTGAAAATAAGAGACTCTCCTTTATTATTATGGTGGACTAGCTTTTTAAAAATGCCAAAATACACATAATATATTCTTCACATAAATGATTGAAAGTAACTAGAAACAAGCTGACATTTGGGAGAAAGTAGGTTAATTAAAAGAAAAGTTTTCAAGAGAAGAGATTCATATTTAAAAAGTATTCAGAGGTCATGAAGATTTCAGTACTACTGTGTGACAACTTGGGAAATAAAATACATTCACATGCATGAATGCATCCTTACACACGGGTGCGCACACACACATACACACACACACACACACCCTCTACTACATGATATGGGCAATTATGCTGCCTATGACCTAAACCCTATCTATGGGTGATAGTGTCAATAAGATGGAAACTTTCCAAAAAAGAAATATTAGCTGAGACTTTTAGCCAAAACTGGGAGGTGGCATTAACCTTTTCATGCCCTTTGTACATAGTCAAATAAAACAAAAATCATTTTTCATGTATCAATTGTAATTGATAATGTTATATTCTTATTGTATCACAGGTTATAAAGCCTTTGAACACACACGCACACACAAAATCTTAGTGTTGCTAGGTTTTGCTCCCCAAACTCCTGGGTTTGGGTTTATATATATATATTACTCTAACGAGTGGCTGTTGAACAGTTGCCTTCCTCATCCTGCCTATGGGAGCTGATTATGCTCTACCTTCTATGCCAAAAACACTCTGGATGACACAGCCTGTGCCCCTAATGAAGGGGGAGAAGAAAACCATAGAGGTCAGGAGCTATTTTGAAGGTCTCTTGAGGAGATCTTTGCAACGGCAGTCATTTCCTTTATCAGCACACATTAACAAAAACCTTCTGGTGGGGGCTCTGAGTTTTCTGTATCAAGTAGTAGTTAAGAAAAAATAAAGTGATAAATAGAAAATGTCTGCTAAAGTTAGACTTTTTAACTGCTTCACTGACCTTAGGTGATAGCGTCAAGTAGGTCTCTTTACTTTATAGACAAGAGAATATGACAGAACAAACCACAGTGATGACAAAACATGGTGATCCAGTGTGACTCTAGGTTTCAGAGTGAAATGATGCCATTCCAAGAGGGTTTTCATTCTTGATTCTTTATAATCTGCACACTCCTTTACTTGTTCCTTTATCTGTCTTCCCCCCAGGGAAATACTGTGGCTTGGCTGGGATGGAATAAACCCGATTAAAGAAGGTAGAAGCTAAGAGTCTAGTGAGACATACCTGATCAAACAAAGGATAGGCATCAGCCCATGAGAAGTGTCTAGAACTGGTTAGTCAAAGGACAGGTTGGCAGAGATATGAGTCCATAGGTTCCAACTAGAAGGTGTATCTATAGAAATGTTCAGGAGGAAAGGAATATATAATGCATGATCATGGTATGTAATTTATGGATTTTTAAGCAAGAGACAATAGGTGATGATGTTAGAAGGCAGGCAGTTGGCACTGAAATTCAGGCACAAGGAATCCAGCATTCATTGGCATGAAATCCAGATAAGCACAGTCACTAGGCAACAAGGTTGGAACTCTATCTCAAATAGCAAGGCAAGGGATCAGTTACTAGGAAACTGGGGTGCCTAAGTTAGAGAGAGATCAGCCTTCTTCACTGAAACATCAGAGATTACATACTCTATCCTCATTTTATGCAGTATGCTAAGAAAGAAGCTGTTTAAACCAAATCCTGGATATGCAAAGAAAATGTCAATCCATAGGGCCTCTATACAAAAAATATATATATATTGAGAAGGCAAAACTCAATTAATCATTTTTCCCTGGTTAGCTAATTACATGAGTCAAAAATTGTTGTACTATATACAAACTTTCAAAGGAGTTAAGAAACACAACTCTATTATTGAGCAGCAGCTCTTCATTATGAACATTTGTCCTTTAGTTGGTTGTTAGGCCTTATCTGCCGAGATGCACCACCCAATATCACAGTTTTGCTTGTGGGATCTATGCCGTCAGTCCTGGTTGTCAAAGCAACATCTCTAGAGATTTATTCCAGCAAGCTAAGAAGAGACATGGAAGTCCTGTTTGTAGCACATAACTGAATATTTTAAAGTTCCTTTTGGATTCCCTTTTCATATTTGCTTGCTGGTCAACTGAAATCCATTTTCAGGTCATAAATACAAAACTAAGAGCAAAAATCAGAGGCAGAGTAAAGGAAAAGGTGTCCACTGTGAATCCATAGAAGTGTTGATTATATATGTACCTTATAAAGCAAGGAAACTCAATTTTTACTTTCTACATGGTTTTCAATTCATTGTTGTCTACAAAAATCTCCAACCCCTGATTTTGGTCAATGATGTAAAATTCTTTCATATTCTTTAGTTACTAAATATTTCAGGTCTACTACACACACACACACACACACACACACACATGCATAATACTTGAGAAAGAACTATTAGTTATAATAAATATCATTATTTTGTGTTTTCTTCTCAATGATTCAACATCAGTGGTTATCAAAGTGTGGTCCCTGGACCCAAAATAGCATCACCAACAAACTCATTAGAAATACAAATTTGTGGACCCAGGCCTAAATTTACAGAACCAGACACTCAGGGGGTAGGGTGCAGTAATCTGTTTAATAACAGATTCTGATTCTGATGAATTCTTCAGCTTGAGAGCCATCATTCTACACCTTGCAGATGACTTCCAAACCTACATCTGTTTCCAAACGCCTGATGAACACAGACTTAGAGATATAGCACAACCCAAATATCTCAAAATTCAATTGGTCATCTCCTTGATGAAACCAGTTCCCTTCCCTGCATTTCCTACCTTAGCTAATGAGAACTGTCTAATTACCAAGTGTATTCATTGTCTATTGTTACATTAAAAATTCCCCAAACTTTGCAGCCTAAAATAAGAAACATCATCTCACACAGTTTCTGAAAATTGGGATTGTGGGAATAGCTTAGCTGAGTGGTTGAGGCTCAGGGTCTCCTGTGAGGTTGTGGTGGTCAAGATGTCATCTGGGACCACAGTTATATAAAGACTTCTTTGGGCTAGAAAAATGACTTTCAAGCTCACTCACATGGCTATTATCAAGAGGCCCCACTTCCTTATCATGTGTGTCTACCGTAGGGCTAATTACTAGAAGGCACCCACTTCTCCCAAGCAAATTTCAAGAATGGGAAACCAAGAAAAAAAAAGGCACACTGACTTTATAACCTAATATCAAAAGCCACATGCCATCACTTCTGTCATTGTTGGCCAATAAGGCCAGTCCTGGTAAAATGTAGGAGAGGACTACACAAGCATGGGACTATCAGGAGGTGGGGATCATTGGGAGCCATCTTGGAAGCTGTTAACCATGCCCAGACAAGTAATACCAGGAGATTTCTAACTCTCTTATTCTCACTGCCATATACAACCCATAGCCAAGACTTGTCAATTATTCAGTATCTTCCATGCCCGTCCCCTTCATTATAGTACTCTTGCCTACTCTTCTATCTTGCCGCCAGTCTCTATGCTCTTCCAACACTCCCTCTCACAGCTGAGTAACATTCCTAAAATACAAGCCAGATTTGCCACAAAAGACCTTCAAAACCTCTCTGCTTCCTATCAAGTAAGTGTAGATTCCTTAGCATGGCATTTAAAGTTTCCTCTGACCTAAGTATAATCCATCTTCCCAGGACCATTTCCCACTATAACTCGTCATTCTTCTCTGTCCAGGCCAATGATTGGAGGGCTTCCCTAAGTCTTTGTTCCTGTCAATGCTCCTTTGATACTATGTTTATCAAGAATATCCTCTTCCTACTCTAAAGCCCAGATCACATGCTGTCTTTACTGATATTCCAGTCAGCATGAATTACTGTGATCCAAGGCATTTTATACCTCCAACACAGGGTTAGTTGCAAATTGTAGTTAGTCGTTTAACAGTCTTATTTCACAAATAGATTTTAATCTCCCCAGAGTTAGGGGTTTTATTTCAATTATCTTTATCATTATCAATACAGTATTAGGGTCTGTTGAATTAAAATATATAATTTCAACAGGCCCTTTCATATGAGAGATGATTCACACTATTCTCAACAATGCAGGGGAAAGGTAATTTAAGAATGAAATAGTCATTACTATTCCCCTAAAGAGTAGCCCTTCCTACAAAGCTTCCAGGTGGACAAATAGCCTAAAATATCTAGGCTATCTTTTTACTTGGAAGACTTTTCTTACAGACAGATGGGACAGTCTGCTTTTACAATGAAACCTAGAAATGTGCATGGAGATAGAAGTGGTGAGAGTTCATTAGCCTGGCTTATAAACACTTATCTCGGGTGTTGGGAGCCCCTAATGGGATTTAACAAGGGAAGTAGCTGATCAGATTTTTACTTGGAGGAATTGCCTCTGAGGGGATCAATTACAGGCTGCCTGACTGAATTGGAGGGGTGCAGAAGTCAAGTCAGGGGGTGATGGTGGTACACTCTACAGTGAAGGCAGAAGAACTGGAGAGAAGAGAGTTGCTCCAGAAGTGGCCAGACATGCCGACTGATGATTGATTGTGAGGGAGAGAGCTGAAGGTCTGGAATGATGCCCAGGTGAGGATTTTGTGCCTGTGAATCTGGATCTAGGATCAGCTCTCAGTGGGGAAAAACACTCAGAGCATGAACTTTGCACAACATGGTACCAGCATCATTGTCATGTATGGAGGACAGCCCATTCTGGAGGCAGGCCACAGGAGCTACAGGGAAATTACACTGACCTTTTTTCACAAATGAATAGGCTCAAAATTAGATTCTTACACCGAATGACTAACAGGAAAGCTATTAAACTGTCAGACAAGAGCTCTCCCTGTTTTTTATGAATTACCATGATTCATTGTTCGAGGGGAAGGAGCTAAGCAAGAATCATTTCCGCTGCTTCTCAGGAGTTCCTGAAGAATCACACACTAGAGCGTGAAAGCAGGAAGACTGATTCATAATGACAGCATCAAAGATCAAATCAAACATCTAAACACAAAGTGTGCATGGTTGATATGTAATTATCAGCCATGTCATGAGGTTTTTAATCAATCAACTTGATTTTTCTGCTTAGTATTATAAATGCCCTTTCATCTGAAGGTAGGGATGATAGAGGTACAGAAGATAGCCACACATAACACAAAATCTTTCTAACTAAACATAGTTGACACCAATTATGACAGCCTCACATAGTAACATGCTCCATGTGACTAAGGAAGTTTTTATATTACATGGTACATTTGAGAAAAGGGCCAATAAAATACAGCACATCTTGCACAGAGCTTTTTTAAACATTTGCATTTGAATACCCTTAGAGCAAGCAAGTATCTTTCAGTCCACAGCCACAAATATGCTTAATCCTCTCATTTATTCGTATTATTGCCTGGCTTCTGAGTTGGGAATTCTGAAGAACAACCAAGAATGCTGAGATGGGGCCAGGCCCGGTGGTTCATGACTGCAATCCCAGCACTTTGGGAGGGCCAAGGCGGGCGGATCACCTGAGGCCAACATGGTGAAACCCCGTCTCTACTAAAAATACAAAAATTAGCTGGGCATAGTTGCACACACCTGTAATCCCAGCCACCAGGAGGCTGAAGCAGGAGAATGGCTTGAACTGGGGAGGCGGAGGTTGCAGTGAGCCCAGATTGTGCCACTGCACTCCAGCCTGGGTGACAGAGTGAGACTCCATCTCAATTTTTTTTTTAAAGTGAGCAAAGGTGGGTATCTTTGAGAGCAATTAATACAAGTCACTGAGCTAATGTGAAAGGAGACAGAAACACAGGAGGGTTGCCCTGCAGCTTGGAGTATCTCCCTGCCCAAGATATGCATCATCCCTCTGCCCGAAGCCATACTGGCGCTTATCCATATTATTCCCCTTTATACCTCTTAAGATACAATCCCTAAGAAGATTTATAAGGCCCGCCCAGGTGCGGTGGCTCACTCCTGTGATCCCAGCACTTTGGGAGCTCGAGGCGGGCGGATCACCTGAGGTCGGGAATTCAAGACCAGCCTGACCAACATGGAGAAACCCCATCTCTACTAAAAACTCAAAAAAGTAGCCGGGTATAGTAGTGCACGCCTGTAATCCCAGTATCCGGGGGGATGAGACAAGAAAATCACTTGAACCAAGGAAGGGGAAGTTGTGGTGAGCCGAGATCCTGCCATTGCATTCCAACCTGGGCAACAAGAGCAAAAGTCCGTCTCAAAAAATAAGTCAATAAAAGAAAACTTACACGGCCCTGTTTGTGTGGATCCTGCTCCCACTTCCAGACTCCTGTCCCACCACTCACTCACCTTCCAGCTCTCTGAGCTCCATTCCGACAGTCTCACAGGTCAGGAAGCAGGAGAGCCCTCTGTCACATCCCACCCAGCTCCCGCTTCAAGCCTAAGGCACTCATTTCCCCCAGCTGCTGGGAGTTTAAGCTGCTTTGCTCTCACCTGAGTCCCACTGTGGGAAGTGCCGTCACCTGGTTCTCCCACGGTCATGCCCCCACCTCAGGACAGAAGATTGGTCCATAAGCAGCTACAGAGGCCTCAATTTTAGGCAGCTTAAAGGACACCCCAACTCCAGAGCTCTGTAACTTCCTTACAGGAGTTATTCATGAGAGCATACCCAATAAACACCTGGCCACAAATTTCTATTTCAGAGTCTGTTTCCAGGGAGTCCATGCCAGGACCCAAGCCCTCCTCATGCCTGTCCCAAAGCCTTTGTTTCTGTTCTTTCACTGTCTGAAACATTCTTCAGCCATCCTCCCTTCCCTCTTCCCCAAGTGTCTCACCTACTCCACTTTCTTAGCTCTGGGGTCTCTTTTCCAATAATGTCTTCCCTGAAACTACAGTCTAATTAAGGTCCCACTATTCTATGCTTTCGTGGAAACCAGTAGTCCCCTTCCTTTATAGGACTTCCATTTGTAATATGCAGACATTAATTTGCATGTCTGCCTTACCTACCCCAGTAAACTCCATGAGAGAAGTAGCTCTGCTCTTTCTTATGTTGGTGTTCCAGCATACAGCAATGAATCTGGCTCAGGTTTGGAATTCCATGAATAGACATTAAATTGTCTGGTGGATTAATTGATTGATTGGTGAGTGAATGGCCTCTGACATCAAAGTCCTTTCTTTTTCTGACTCATCTTCCTGATAACAGGGAGCACCATTTTCTGGTGACCGTTCCTCACTGTGAGGTTTTTAAAGTGCAATCATGTGATAAGCTGTGATTATTGTCTTTACCAAGGTCACCTTAGGCATTGTATGTTTCATCTGTCAAATGCTAATCATGTAAGAACATCGAGGCTGAAAACAAGAGAAATGTATGCCTCTTCAGCACTGTACTTTCATGGTAGGAATTCCAAACAGTTAATGGACGATAATAAAAAAATAGCTCAGGATTTAAATCAGGATCAGTATTTCACCAAAGTCTTCTAAAGTGTTTGTAGTAAAGTTGTGGGAGATTGAGCTCTAAAATGCGGAGGAAAAGAGCTCTTTTTGCTTCTATTTTCAGAGGCTTTTGTTCTAGAAATTATTTTTAGTGTCGCTAAATTATGCTAATTAAGACAACTAAACTGAAAAAGTAGTATATTTAGAACCAAGAGAACATATTTTACTAATGGTGTATGATTTCCCAAGCAGATTTAAAATTAGATTTATGTTATTTTAAGATATTTTTGTTTATCCAGCCAAATGTCACCCTAAAGTCAAGCTGGCCAGAGAAATAGGAGAAATTACTCTCCAACCAGTATTTGCTAAGCACATTCACTGAGCAAGGAATTCAAGACCATGGTCATTGGTGTCAGGAGAGATGTAGTCTCTGAGGTTGCCGAGTGATTCTAAAATCTTGTTAAGGACCTGAAAAAGAGAAGAGAAAAACCAGATCTTGACAGGCAGGAGCTGGCCTGGTGCCATCAGGGAAATCTTGGGGTTGTTAGATACTGGCCTGGCACTCAGAGCTAGATTGTGGTGCTGTCCTGCTGAACACAATGTCACAGAACACCCACATCAGTCAAGCACCCTGTACTACTTGGATGGATCATGACAAAATCAAGACACTTCCAGAAGAAGTCTGAACCTGGACAAAAGCAAGAATGTTGTCCAAACCACGCAAATTATTAAGCATCCCCTACCTTAGCTGGTATGAAAGCTGCTTCTTTTTCAATTATAGCTTTAGCCTCACTTCATGTCTCCTTCCATATAGATAAAATTTATTAAAGATATCCGATCACAGAATTGCTTTCTGACAGCATCCAATCTGGAGCAAAGCCTACTTCCTTGAACCTAGAACTCTGAAGGTGATACACCTTTGCAAGGCCACAGGCATCCTGCTTTCCTGCATATGCCTTTACCTGAACAGTACATGCTTTCTTCTCTATTGTAGAAGGTGTTATTCACTTACTTAAATTTCATCTGACTTAGTTTAATGATACATGGGGACTTTTTTTTGTCTTTATATATCTATAAAGGCCCTGTCATCGAAGGCTCAGGTTTAAGTCTTAAGTTTTACCAAAAAAAATTTAGAATAATCTAAGGAAAATATTCTTATGTGACATATTTTCAAGCAAACAGATATCAGAGGGAAATCTGACTTATGCAATAATTAAAGGAAGTAATAATAAATTCATGTATCTTTTGTATAACGGTATGTTAATCTGAGAACATCAGAGCATTGTAACAAGGACATTCCATGCTAGTTAGACACACTCACAGTCTAAGAGGTGTCAGCCCTAACCCAACAGGCACAGTGAGGATGCTGTTGCTCCAAATGATAGTTCCAAGTAATAGCTTCTTGTTTTTTAAGTTTATTTTAATTTTGAATTTCACAATGTCAAGTAAAATGTTACATAAAAACATGTATTACCAGGTAATATAGTGTGGAGATTAAGAGCATAGACTACATTTAGACAGACTTGGGTTTTAAACTTGACTCTATTGCTTTTACAGGTGACTGCTGTAATTTGGATGTGTCTCCCAAAGTTTATGTGTTGGAAAAGTTTCCAGTGCAACAGTTTTGGGAGGTGAGATCTAATAAGAGGTAATTAGATCATGAGAGCTCTTCCCTCATGAATGGATTAATATCATTATCAAGGGAGCAGGATAGTTATTGCCAGAGAGGGCTTACTATCCAGGCAAGTTTGGCCCCCTCTTGGTCTCTGGCTCTCTCTTACTATCTTGCTTAATCACAGTTTCTCGCCCTTCCAACCTTCTGCCATAGGAAGATATAGCACAAAGGCCCTTGTCAGATGGGAGCGCCATGCTTTTGGACTTCCCAGCCTCCAGAACTGTGGGCCAAATAAACTTCTATTGTTTATTAATCACTCAGTCTGTGGTATTCTGCTATAGCAGCAGAAAACTGACTGAAACAGTGACCTTCCGCAAGTTACTTGAAACTCTCAAAACCTGTTTCCTTACAGTGAAATGGAGATAGTATATAGACAAGAGAGTTCTTACTGAAGTCAATGGCATGGTGCCTGTAAATGTTCAGCTCAGTGTCTGGCACATAGTAAGTTCTACAATTACTCTTGTGATTGTGTTGATAGTCGCCTGTGTTCAATCAAGTACAGAAATCTTCAATCTGAAAAAAGGATTTTGAAGATTCAAACTATATTACCTTGTGAAGAAAACATATTTTAAAATATATTAAATATATTTTAACATTAGGCTTGGAGCTCTAATAGAAGAGTCTAATCCAGCACTTAATAAACATTCAGTATGTATTTGCTTAGCCTTATGCTTTGTATCTGGGCAGGTGAAGGGTTAGAGAAGAGAAAGCAAAATAAGATATGATTTAGATTCAGATATGTTCACAATTAACAGTTAAATATGGCTGACTTTGATAAGTACTATAATCAATTTCAACAATGACATCCCAGGAAAAGAAAAGTTCAGTTATGAATAAGACAATCTAGGAGGCTGCATGGAGGTGGTGATATTGAAACAAGAGTAGAATTTCCTCAGGCAAAAATTGGGATTGTGGGTCTGGAATAACAATATGAATAGGCAAATTAACATTTAAAAATAAGGAACAGAAGTAGAAAGGTATAGAGGATGTCAAGAGAATTGGGTATAGAATGATAGACTTGCTAGGTATGTGGAGAATGGCCAAGGAACTCAGGAAGTCTCTATCATGAAATGCTCTTTGTGGGCCCTGTTAAAGAGTTTAGATCTAGCTTCAGCTCTAGTTTCCCTAACAAAATACCATAGACCAACAAGAATTGTTGGGAAACGAGTTTAACCAACAAGAATTTCTCACAGTTCTAGAGGCCAGAAAGTCCAAATTCAAAGTACAAGTTGATTAAGTTTCTGATGAAGGAACCTCTTCTTGGTTTGTAGATATATACCTTCTCACTGTGTCTTCACATGGCAAAGACACACACACACACACACACACACACACACTCAGAGAGAGAGAGAGAGACAGAGAGATCTGACCTCTCTTCTTTTTATGAGGACACTAATCCTGTCATAGGGGATCCACCCTCAAGACATCATCTAATTGTAATTACCTCCCAAATTCCCACCTCCGAATATCATCATATTAGGGATTAGGGCCTCCACATGTGAATTTAGGGGAGCACAAACATTCATAACATCTTGACCTATACTCAGAGAAGAAACATTGACAATTTTGAGAAGGCAAACAAAATCATGCGATTGCTTAGGAAGGTTAATCCAGTGTGAATCAGTGAGAAAATTGAAAGGAGACAAAGAGACCAGCTAAAATATTGCTGTAATAGTTCAGTGTAGAGGCACCATATTTTATAAAACCTATAACATCATTAGACATATCATTTTTTATTCTAAAGAAGAAAGTACTTCCACTGAATTACAGCATACCATTTTTACTGAATAGAATTTTAATTTTATATTTATTGAAAGAACTGTTTGAGAGATTTTAGGCATTCTTGCGTTTTATATGTCACTCTGTATTAACATAGAAAATCTGAGGGAAATACAGCAGATAAGGTATTTCTGAAACTCACAATCTACTTCTCAATCACTTTCTGATTTAGTCATTATGGGGTATATTATTATAGAGTTCATTCATATATACATAAAGTGATGATTTTTTAAATAATCACATTTTATATTTTATTTTGTCACTTTTTTTTTACTTAACACATCTTGGACATCTTTCCAGTTAATTAACTGTAGCTTGATACCATCATTTAAATTCATTCAGCAAATGATGACTGAGCATCTAGGCCTAATACGAGGAACTAGAGAAACACTGAGGAGTAAAAGTAGGCACGGGTGTTGCTCTGATGGAGTGTGACCAAAGGAAAGAATTTCCTGGTGGCACGCATTTTATGTCTTTCTAGATTTCGATTTATAAAATTATAATATTATGATGAATTTCCTTATTAGTCTATCTCTTTATAAATCCCTACATAAGCTTCCTTGTAGTCCTAGCTAGGCAGGAGGCTGAGGCAGGAGGATCGCTTGACCCAAGAAGGTAGAGGCTGCAGTGAGCCAAGATTGTGCCACTGCACTCCAGCCCTGGTAACACAGTGAGATCCCGTCTTAAAAAAAAAGAAAAACAGCTCCTAAAGTATAACATCTGGGCCAAGTGGCATGCCTGTATTACATCTGTTTAAGGATTGTGATACTTATTGTCAATGTTCCCTTCAAATATGCAGCCATTTATATTCTTCCCATCAACATTCCCATCCTGTGCCTGTTTCCTCCCAACTCTCCCACCCTGGGTTTTACTGTTTTTCATCTTGGCTAATCAAGTGGTAAATACTGAAATTTTATCATTATAAATTGCATTTCTTTATTACTGCTGATGTAGAATATGTTTATATTTATTAGCTAAATACATTTTATATAATACACCAATACACCAATTTTTATATAATATATACCTATTATGTGAATATACATTTTTGCCATCAGTAGATATTTACATAGAGAAAGAGTGTATGTATACACACACACACATATTGGTTTTTATGATTTGCCCATTTTTCTTTTGGTATATTTATTCAAGTGATTTTTAAACAATCATTTCCCCCTTTGAGTTCCAACATTAGTATTTTAGAAACATACAGAAATTCAAAAGCATAGTAATTGGCACTTTATAAGCATAGTTTCCTACAATATAGTGTGATTTGTTAATTCATCTGTGAAAATGTCTATGTGATATTGTCCTCAAAGCATAATGCTTCTATGAGTTTTAACTATTTGAATCTATTTTAATAAATCTAAAGACATCTTATGCAAACAGCAAAACAGATTGTGCAGTTTCCATAGAAACAGAAGCTAATATTATTAAAAAGGAATGAGCCAGGTTGGAACTTTTCTCCTCAGGGACCCTCATTTGCAACCAGTTCCTTGAATAAGTCGTATATGTGAATTATGCCACCTGATGCTAGTTAACATTAGTGATGCGTGATAAAGATTTCACTTGGCATCTGATCATCACAAGGGAAAGATTGATGTAAATTATATTGTCGGCTAACTAATTTAGGATTTTATTTTAAATTGAAATTTAAAAGTAAAACCATTTCATTTTTATTTCCTAGGGAGAGTGGTTCATTTCCATGCTAAAATTGAAATAACAATAATGTGAGTATCTGATTTCTTTTTCAACTTGGAAAATTTTTGTTATAAAGGAAACTTTTTCTACTGAATTAATAATTTTTATTAGCTTATATTATCTAAAAGGAACAAGACAAATGTTATACACAAAAGCACTAAAACCCTTTTAAAAGAATATGAAATAATTATATGACTCAGACTGTCAGAGTTTATAATTACCACTCAAAATGGAAAAATTTCCTATCCTAAAGAACATCACCATGGGTCCAAGCCACCTAGAGAAAGATGTGTCATATGTGTTACTTAGCTCCACAAATAAAGTCTACAATTCAGCGTTTAGCCCAAAATTTCCATATAAGGCTAAAGTAGACCTTTCCTGTCTACTCTAAGAAGCCACGTGTCTGTGAAACATCTCAGCTTAGTGCTGGAAGTGGGTCTGGATGTGTATGTTCCTCTTTCATACAGCAGAAAGAGGATTACTTCTCTTACTGTCAAATACAGGATAAGATATTTAAAGATTATAAACATGAAAGTAATTTTCATGTTTATAAAAATCACACCTTCACTTTTTAAGAAAACAGTTGAAAGCTGTGCACTATCTCATGTGACCTTCACAACTGTGATACTGACATTTGTATGATCACCTTGTAGACAAGGAATCTAAGGTTCCAAGAGTCAAAGAAGCTTGCCCAAATGTCACAGTTAATGAGAGGAAGAACTGGAACTGAAACACATGTCCTCAGTCTCCAAACCATGGGAAGCTTCCACTGAGCCACACTACCACCCCGACATAACAACTTCTAAGGGTTTCCTTCAAGCAGGGACTGAACTGAGTAGCCTGTCAGAGAAGCAATGATGTCCTTCACAGGAAGAAGGGGAGGACATGCTCCCCGATGCTGGGCTCTGGGGACCATGCGTGCGCTGCATGTTGCTGCTGTTTTATTGACCTTGCTGCCCCACACTCTATCAGTGGTGGTTGTGGAGATGGCCATGGTGGTGGCATTAAGATCATGGCCCTCCAACAAAAGCCAAAATAGACAAATGGGACCTAATCAAACTCCACAGCTTCTGCACGGCAAAAGAAACAGTCATTAGAGTGAATCGGCAACCAACAGAATGGGAAAAAATTTTTGCAGTTTACCCATCTGACAAAGGGCTGATATCCAGAATTTACAAAGAACTCAAACAGATTTACAAGAAAAAAACAAACAAGCCCATTCAAAAGTGGGCAAAGGATATGAACAGACACTTTACAAAAGAAGACATACACGAGGCCAACAAACATATGAAAAAATGCTGATCATCACTGGTCATAAGAGAAATGCAAATCAAAACTATATTGAGATACCATCTCATGCCAGCTGGAATGGCAATCATTAAAAATTCTGGAGACAATAGATGCTGGAGAGGATATGGAGAAATAGGAACACTTTTACACTGCTGGTGGGAGTATAAATTAGTTCAACCATTGTGGAAGACAGTGTGGCGATTCCTCAAGGACCTAGAAATAGAAATTCCATTTGACCCAGCAATGCCATTACTGGGTATATATCCGAAGGACTATAAATCGTTCTACTATAAGGACACATGCACACGAATGTTCATTGCAGCACTGTTTACAATAGCAAAGACCTGGAATCAACCCAAATGCCCATCAATGATAGACTGGATTGGGAAAATGTGGCACATATACACCATGGAATATTATGCAGCAATCAAAAACGATGAGTTCGTGTCTTTTGTAGGGACATGAATGAATCTGGAGAACATCATCCTCAGCAAACTGACACAAGAACAGAAAATGAAATACTGCATGTTCTTACTCATAGGTGGGTGTTGAAAAATGAGAACACATGGACACAGGGAGGGGAGCACTACACACTGGGGTCTGTTGGGGGGAATAGGGGAGGGACAGCAGGGGGTGCGGAGTTGGGGAGAGACAGCATGGGGAGAAATGCCAGATATAGGTGAAGGGGAAGAAGGCAGCAAATCACACTGCCACGTGTGTACCTATGCAACTATCTTGCATGTTCTTCACATGTACCCCAAAACCTAAAATGCCATAAACAAACAAACAAAAAAGATCATGGCCCTTAAGGCTTCACTTGATCAAGCCTCCAACTTCACTTCATTTTTCTCTCCCCTGTGTTCACTATGCTCCACATAATAAATTGATTTGTTTCATTTTATTGTTTCAATACCAGGCACAGAAGGAAACAACAGGAAGAAATTCCATATGATTGAAGAAGTGTCTCTTCTTTCAAAATGGCAATGTAGCTAAGGGGTTGGATTCTAACGTGAGGTTGCCTGGGTTTGAATCCTGGCTTTGCCATTTTCTGTGTGTGACTTCAGACTAAATTTAATTGATTCTATGGCTCACTTTTCTTTGTCTCTGTTGCCTCACTGCAAAACTGGTCAAATACTAGGTCCTACCTGATGGGGTTCAGAGATAGTCCATGCAAAGCATTTATCTGGCAATAGAAAGGACTCCTGACATAAGCAGTCAGCATCACAATTGATCAATATATGGTGAGAAATCACAGTGTTTGCTCAGGAAAGGTCTTGAGCTATGCATACAGAATGTTACACCACGTGTAATACATGCAATACATTATGTGTGTGTTTGTATTGCATACATATGTGATACATACAAAATGTTACACATACAATATATTTTAATAGAAAGGTTTGATTTAGCTTGGCAGAGAGAAAGGAAGGGTCAAACTCGAGAAAGGAATGGTCAAGCTCGAGAAAGGGCATCCCCTGAATAGGAACAAGGGAGCAGTGGGAATGCACACAGCGTGTTGTGAGGGTAAAGGGGCTGAGCTCATGAATACGAAAGCCTCTTGCAAACTGATTGTAAGAGATGAGGCTGGACAGGAAAGATAGGACCAGGTAAAAGAAGATTTTTAATTCCATAGTAAGAATTTGAGAATTAACTTAATAGGCAATAAATAGCTTCAGTAGGGAAACTATTACAGAGTCTTGCGCAGGAAAACTTAACATAAAAGAAAAACAAACTTGGTTTTCCTGGATGCCTTTCAAAGTTAACTGAGTCGAGACTGACCAGAGCCCTCTGATAAGAGTTGCCGTTGATGGCAGTCAGTATGCCAGGCCTTGTCTCATTCTAACAAGAATCCTGCAGGATAAATATGGTTTCCACATCTTCTGAGGAAGGCTCAGAAAGGTTAGAAAAATGTCCAAGGTCCTGTGACTAATAAATATCAGAGCCAGCACCTACACACAGGCCTTTGCATCTCTAAAACCTGTGTTTCACCTGTGTTTAACCTATCCTGGCTAAATGGTTTTTTAAAAGGTGGGAGAGGTTAGTAAATGAGAGAAGCAACAGAAATTGGGAAAAATGAGCAAGATCATAAAAGGAATCTCTTCCATATTACTTTAAGGATCTAAATATTCTGGACAGAAGACTTCCTCAGAACAATTAGAAAGCAACATTTCTCTGGAAACGGCTGTTGAAACTACAGTAACCTTATGAGTGCTGAATAGGAATGTTCCTTGCAAAAACAGGTAATCCTGTCAAGTGCAGGCAGAAAAGAACTTCATTAAATGATCTTTAGCTACTCAGAAATCCCAGGTGGGTCAGAAAAGTCAAGCATTTAGGACAGTCCCAAACAGTTGCAGGAGCAAGGACACCACAGCTAACCTATGTCCAGATGACACAGGGGACTGGGTACCAGAAGCTCCACCCTGATGAGCTAAAGTCTTCACCGCCATGCTTGCTACATGCGTGTCCCCACACAGGGGTGCTTTTCCACATTGCTCATTTCCAAATCCAAGCCTGGATGAGTATGGTCTGATTAGTAGAACATAAGCTACATGCCTGTTTCAAGCTTCAAGGAAATCTAGGTTTGGGATTCTTTATGGCTGTTTTTTAAAAGCGGGGTTCATAGCTAAAACTCATACTCTAGAAATTCCCAAAGTATAAGCTTTGGAGCAGTCAGCATAACTAATGTCCATTCCTATTAGGTAAAAGAGTTAGGGCAAGTGAAGAACCCTGCAGGATGTATCTAGCACTCTTCATGGGAGAGGTATGCTTTCTGAAATGGGCATTTCATTCTGCTTGACAGGTTCAACGTATTATTATAGAAAGAGAAGGGTGACTTACTAAATTTAATAAAAATGTCTGTGAAGGCTGTCCAGCTCCCTTGGGGTTTGATTCATATTTACCCAGTAATTTTTTATAGCCATTAAATTTCCCAAGCAAATTTATCTACTGGAGAGAGAATGAGCTTACCAACTGCCAAGAAGAATATTCTGGTCTCTCCTGCAGTGACATTTCATTATGGGTTAATAAGTTCATTCACCAGACAATGTGCCAGGCATTGAATTAGGCACTGTATTTTGAATGACAATCAAATCCCATCTTTTCCCATGAAGATCTTACAACCTGTGAGGAAAACAAACATGAAGATACAAAGTTATGGAGTGACGTGATGAATGCAATCCTGATAAAAATGACAGGAGAAGCGAGGAGGTGAATCCCTGCTCATCCCAGGTGGCAAAAAGGACCTGGCTTGAATGAAGTCTTCACAAATGAGAGTAAACCAGATGGAGGCTGGGGGAGAGGCACGCTAGGCTGAGGAAAAGCACAAATGTAAGGAACATTGATTATTTTCATTCATTCAACCAATATTTGCTTTGTTCCAAGTACTGAGATATAGAACGTGGGAGAGTGGTTGGGGAAAAGGCGGGGAAGGGGCACATACCACAACAGTGAGGCTGAGGGTCAGATGCACTTGGCCAAATAGAGACATGTATGCCATGGCAAGACGTTTTGAATTTACCTTTGGTACTTTATCTTTTTTAATTGATCTCTCTGGAGACTGTAGAGAATAAATCCAGATTTTAAGTGTCTCCCTCTTGAGTCTAAACATGTTACTTACCACCCTACGCTGTGCACGCAAGTCTTTTCTTGTGTGTTAGCAGATGGTTTGTTTAATTTGTGTGGCTCAGGATGGGTACAGCAATCTGGATTTTCTTTATCTCTTTTGGCAATGAGGTATGGTCTCCCTGAGAAGATAAGCATAAAAAAGGCAAGGACCCTGCTGGTGACTCACTTCACAATAGAAGGTATCAAAGATGGGCATTTGAACAGTGTTTCCTGGAGAGGAACAGTGTTTCCTGGAGAGGAAGTCTTCTGGTACCTCCCTATGAAACACCTGGGTAGCTGCCATTGGGCTTTCTGGAAATGGTAGCATGCGCAATAATTAATGTTGGCATTTGCATAAAGATAATGGGACACTGAAAGGACAGAAGCAAATTAGATGTAAACCCATGTATCCTTAATAGAAAGATAGAGAAAAGCAGAGACAATAGCAAAAGGAAAAAGAAGTAACTCACATATTTGTGTATTTTAAACACTGTATTTAGGTACAAGCTGCCATTAGGAAACCCATCGCCTGCCAGCTGCACTCAACAGGGGACGGGATACACAGAGTTTAAAGAAAGTGCTGCTTGCTAACTCTACATTTTCATGTTACCTCCTTATCGTTGTGGAAAGAGGAAGAGAAGAAAGGGAAGATATGATAGCAGGAACAGTCACTGCAGTACAGACTCACTGTGCAATCATGACAAGGTAAATGAGTTCTACAGTCTATAAGGTCAAGACAGCAGGGCCTTGCCAGTGAAATACATTATGTGTGTATGTAATGTGAATAGTTGATTGAAACTAAAGGCCAGATTTCTCAAATAAAAGAATGCCTTCGGGGCTCACAGTCATTGACTGTTGGGAACTGACAAGAAGGAGGGGAGGAGGCAAGCAGGTAAGCCTGCAGAATGCTGCCCGTGGTCACACAGGTCTGGCTCACAGCATCTCCAGTCCTGACACTTCATTGTCAACTTGCCTAGGAGCAAGCCAGCTTCCCAGTGGAGAAATTCACATGAGGCTGCCTTGTAAATCAGGTTCTCAGTGTGTTCCTTTACAGTGAGCTTGATCTGATTTCACCATAGCCTTCTTGTCCTCCATGCTACATACTTCCCTGGGTAGGTAATTTTAGCCAGAAATGCAAATCATTCATTGCCAAGGGTTTAAATAGGAAGTCAGGAAATAAGTAGTTGGATGATCTCAAAGTTTCAGTTCTTGAATTTGTATTGCCATAACACATATAACATCTGACAGTTATTTCACAGACTCCCCAGAATATAGCCACACCTTGACATAAAATAAGGCCTCAATGTAATGAGTGAAAAATGTATTTAGAAAACAGATACTTCCAGATGTCCACCAAAATGTGCTCCTTAGAGTGTTCTACAGCAAAAGAGTTATACCCAGACACGTGGTCGAAATACACTTCCCAGACTCCCTTGCAGAGTGTGGCCATGTGACATTTCTCACCAGTGGAAACGAGGGGAAATGCTATGGGCCTTGGGGCCAGAGAGTGGGCATGCATTTCCAAGGACTTGTCCTCTTTCCTACTGGACCGTTTTTTGAGGAAAACAGGAATAAATACAACTAACAAATATTCTCACTACTGAACAAATCGGTATGCCACTGTTACTAATAAAATCAACAAGTATTCCTCCTGGACGAACTCTGCTCATCTGTACCTCCCAGTTTCCCTGTGTTTTCATTTCCAGCTGGAGTCATCCTTGACACTGCTCTTCTCTTTCTCTCAGAGACACCTCTTTCCCCATGTCCTACCACCTGCATCACACCATAATTCCTTATAATCTCTTGTCCTCCTCTGGTCTGCCTTCCACATGGCAGTCCATGAAATCCTCTTGGGATGAAAACAGGAGAATGCCACTCCTTTCTCAATTGAGAGGAGTTTTAGATTTTTATTGGAAAATTATTAGGGAATGAATTAGCAACTCTGAAAATGTACTAGGTATGTAAGCACTTAAAAATATGAGGCAATTTT